GGAGAGTGGTAGCACAACCCCAGAATGTCCTCAGTGTCACTGATCACACGTGGAGAAGCCCTTGAATTGGAGTGTGTTGTGCTGTGTATGTTCCCAGCAACAAAAAGAAAAATGATGTGTCTGTAACTCATTCCTGTCCAGTCAGAACCGGCTTACAGCTGACCTTCCATTGGCTTCCTGAGATTGCCTCTGGTGGATTCGAACTACCTGAGGACTGGAGCCCCTGGGTCAGCCGCGCCATTCCCTGTGGACTCCACCCCAGACCTCCTCTCTCTCGTTATGTATATGTTGTCTGCTGTTGTTGTTATTGTTGTGCGCATCAAGTCGGGTGGACACATCGCTGGCCCTCCAGCAGGTTTGCAGGGCTAGTAAATTACAAGAGAGGAGATTGCCGATCATTCTACCATAGAGCAGCTGGAGGGTTCGAACCGTGTACCTTTGTGTTGGCAGCACAGTTCTTTACCTCTGAGCCACCAGAGATCTCTTGTTGTGTGTGTTGTTGAGTCGAAACCGACCCATAGTGCCCCTCGGGCGGGTTTTCCAAGGCAGTTTATCAAACAGGAGGAGATTGCCCATCCTCCTCCCATGGAGAAGCTGGTGAATTCAAACCTCTGTCCTTCAGGATTGCAACGCAGCTTCTTAGCACAAGGCCGCCAAAGTGCGCACTCACTCGCTCACTCAATTTTTTAAATCTTTTTAAGTATGCAGCTGGAATCCGCCAGCTTCTCCCAGAGAGAAAGATGAGCAAACTCCTCCCAGGCAATGCACTGCCTTTGAAAACCCACCAGAGTTAGGAGCTGGACCCAGCTTGACAGTCCCCAAAAATGATGTCAGATAAGGAGCTCTGGTGGGGTGGTGCCCGAAGTGTCAGGCTGCCAAGCAAAAGGTCATCAGTTCTAATTCACCAGCTACTGCCAGGGAAAAGATGGGCAGTTTTTTAGTGTACAATGATGTTCACCCCGTCTGAGGTAAGCCCTGTGGGGGGATAAGGGGATGAGAGCTTTGAGGTTCCCGATGTGGATCCCAGAGTGGACTCAGAAGATAAGGGAACTGCCAGGAATCAGCAGGAACTGCATTCTCAGGTAGCCAAGAAGGTGGGAGGTTCAGAACCTGCTTTTCCAGAGAATGACTCACGGCAGTGAGCTTCCCCCATGAAGACTGCAGGGCAGCTCTGCTGACCCTGCACGTTCCTCCTGAGTCTGGGGGTCCCTGCCTTCACCCCCTGCCCCCGGCTCTCCAGGCTTTTCCTGAGTGTCCATGTGGATTGAGCCGAGGGACGGGGGGTTCCTTACACTCGGGGAAAGCCAGTCACTGCTGTGATCCCCTCTTGCCTGGTGCTGCACTGCACTCTGGGGAAAGGAGATGTTTAAGGAAGAAGCCACCCAGTCGTCCCCAAGTTGACTCTCTCCTGGGGTCAGTGTGTCCCCTAGACTTCTTCCCTAGAAGTGTCTTCCAGGGCCACGTTGGAACGGGGAGAGGAGTTCTGTCTTCAAAACCTGGCTATGCTTTTTCTTTTCAATTATGGCTTGAGTGGAGGTAACAGGGCAAATTTGGTTTCCATTCAACATTTTGTATGTATTTTGTGACATAAATTAAGATTTTTAAAAAAACTTATTAATGAAATAAAATTTTGAACTGCAAGGAGCTTTTCGATCTGCAGAGGCTCAGGAGGGGAGCTGAGGACGCTGGCTCAGGTGAGGAGCACGCCACGGAGTTGGACTTCTCCCATCACAAGGCAGCAGCTTGGCACAAACAAGGACCCTGGCTCCGGACGCCATGACCCCAAGAGGAGACTGGGCGGAAGCTGGGTGGGGAGCTCTGCTGTCACCCCGTGTGCTGGGCGTGGGCTGCAAGGTTTACATTTCTGGAAATTGGGTTCCATTTCGTTTCTTTGGGGACTTTATCTGTGGCCCACAGGGCCCCCCGCGTGTGCTGTGTCCTCTGCCCCGGTGCCTTCCTCTCCGATAGCAGGACGGGTGTCCGAGCTCAGAAGATGCAGCTGTGGGGGCCATGCCTTCGGGTTTTGGCAGAGGCCCGTCCACAGCCCTGGGGACACGTCTTGGAGCTGAGCCAGGCCCAGTGTCAGCGCCATATCTCCACCACCACACATGTCGTCCGTCTGGCACTTCTCCCTCAACTCGTTGTTGCTGGGCTGGCCCCCTCCTCACAGCAACCATAGGCACCCCGAGTGGACCACCGCTGGTCCCTGGCTATCCGGGGTCGGACGTGGTTCAGAGAGTTGGGGGTTTTCGGGAGTGGATCGCTAGGGCCTTTCGTCCTAGTCTGTCAGCTCTCCTGACACCTGTTCACCATCACAGCCAACTCAGGCCTCCTGGTGTCTGCACTGCCCGCCTGCACATTGCTCAGGAATTGAACCCGGGTCCCGCCATTGAACCACATTGCCCCCTCCTTCCTGTTTGGTTCCCTTAAGTGAGGTTCAACCCACAGCGACCCCATGGACAGTGGACCCAGCGCTGCCCGCTCCCGCACCGTCCACCCCTCTGCTCAAGCCCATTGCTGCAGCCACTGTCCAGATGGCTCATTCTCACTGACCGTCCACCTCACCACGCATCACATCCCTGTCCGCGGCCTGGGCAGACCCTCCAGCTGACGAGCCCACAGCTCACGAGATCAAGTCCCACCCGCCTCGCTTCTCCCAAGGACTTCTGTTCACTTCTTCCTGTTCTAACACGAACCCAAACCAGACCCACTGCCTCCGACTCATCGGGACCCTCCCCTGGGTGTCTGACAGCGTCAATCTTTGGGAGAAGAGACTGCCCATTCTCCCCTGAGGAGCAGCTGGTGGATTCAAACTGCCGACCCTTGGGTTAACAGCCTAGCAGGCGCCACACAGCCACCAGAGCTGAGGACGTGATGGTGTCTCTGAAGGAAGTGTGCCTCTCACTTTGCCCCATGGCAGGCGGGTTTCCACCTGAGGGGTTCCTTGTCGGGGTCTGGTCCTGGGCTTGTCCAGTACGAGTGCTGGCCTGGGAGTGCTGCCTGGAGAGCAGGCGTGGCTAGCCACTGCAGACATCCTGGGCACTCTCCCTGGGCACTGCCCCTGGCACTGTCCCTGGGCACTGCCCCTGGGGTGAGCTGACGCACCGAGGAAAGCAGGGCTCGGCCTTGGAGCTAAGGCTAGGCCCACCACTGTGCCTGCTTGAGCCGGGGTTTCTTGGCACAGCTGTCGCTGCAGTGCCTGTCCCTGTGGTCTGCATGGTGCAGGTCCCCAGTCGGCCCTCAGCGCTCCATTATGGGGAGGCACCCACAGTCTGCACAAGCCTGGCCCTGTTGGGCCTCCATGCCCCCAGCTGTGACCATCCAGGACAGAAGGGCCAGTGGCTGTAGAGGAGACACATCGGGCGCTTTGGGCACTCGCTTTCCTGAGCCTCAGTGTGCTGTGCTGTAAAGTGGGTGTAGTAGCCTTGACTCTCCAAGCCCTTCACTGGCGCCCTCAGGAGTGGTATGCCAGCTGAGACTGGAAGATAACCGTCCCGTGCTCCCAGGAAGGGCCATAGGACATGCTGTCGCCCCCCACCCCCGCTGCTGTCACCTTTGGTAGCATGGGAGCGGGACGCACGGGCTTGGGGGCCTGATTTGGGGCTCCTGCTTCTCAAGCTGCGAGAGTGGCTTCATTTTCATCTCACAGTGGGGGCGCTGCCCAAGTGAGGTCAGCGGGGAGGGTGGGTGCTGTTACCATGTGAAAAAGTTATTTTCCCAAACAATGAGCCACCCTAGTGATGTCACAGGCCCTGCCAGCCCAAGAGCCCAAATCCGATCGGTTCTGGTCTTGCATGGCCCTGTAACATGACCTGAATGACGACAGTGCCCGGCTGGGCCAGCGGAGGCTGAGGGCTCAGTGTGTCCATCCTGTGCTGTGGCCACATTTCAAAGTGCTTTCCACTCAGAGAAGGGCAAAAGTCACTCAGAAATAGGGTTCTAATAGCACAGGACCCTCTTGCTCCCCCGGTCTGAGCTTGGAAGTGGGACTGGTGACCATGTCCCAGGGCAAAGCCCTCCAAGTGGCCAGGACCAGAGCCCTTGGGCAGAGTGAATGGTGGCTCTCCCACATGCCTTTGCACTTGGCTGAAATCTAATCTTCATTCTTGGCCCCTCAGGTCACGGCTGGACCTGACGTCATCAAGCTGCTGGCACTCGGCTGCCTTCCTCCCGAGGAAGGCCTTGTGCCGATGAAGTCATGGGAATGGACGCACTGTGGCTTCAGAACCAGTGGGAGCCTGCGGTCAGCTGTGTGTGGCCTCCCAGTGGGCAGGTGGTCAGTCTGTGCCGGTCACTGAGCCTTCCAAACAGGTGGTGTGGAAGGATCCTCGGATTCCGTGCATGTTCCCATTGTACACGTGAGGAGACTGATCTTGGGGACTGGACCATGGTGACATGACTACCCAAGGACACCTCTCCTCCAAGCCCAGCCCCACAGCTGGACTCTGAAAAACACATGGGCCCAATGCCATGCAGCCAGCCTCTGCTCCTTCCCGTGAGTGTTCAGGGATAAGTGCTAGGGACAGGCCATGAGCATCTGGACAGGACTGACAGGCCAAGGTCTCTCTTGCTACCCTGAAGGTCTCCTGGGTTATTCATGTTAATTATCCCCTTATTTTCCTTCGCAGTAACCAACCCCCTGCTGTGACAAGCCCTGATTCATGGTGACCTGTAGGTCAGAGATCAATTGCTCCATGGCGCTCCCAGGACATCTTTATGGAAGCTCAGCTTTCTCTCATGGAGCCACCGGTGTGTTCGAACTGCTGACCTCTTGGTTAACAGCCTAACATGTTAACCACTGAACCACCAGGGCTTCCTTGTGTTGCCTAGAGGAACTTTATAAAGAGAGCTTGGGTGCCCTAGTCTGTACAGAGTTCCCTGCTAAGTAGCCCCTCTCTGGCCATTCTAGTTCACCGTTGTCTCCGAAAGAGAAATGGGCATTTTCCTGCCATGCAGCGTACAGCCTTGGAGCCTGTTCTGACTCTGTCACAATGAGATGACTCTGCTGAGGGAGCTCTGGTGACATGCGTAGGGAGTGGTGCGCTGACTCCCAGGCTGCACCTCTGATGGTTCAGACCCACCCGTGGCTCGTCAGGACAAAGATGGCCAGTCTCCTGTTAGATTTACTGGTCTGGAAACACAATGGAGGATCAGCTATGAGTGATTTCAAGTCAACACAGTGAGATGTGATGAATTTTAACAGTTGAGTCTCCAGGTCACCTCTCAGTTCAACATAGGGTAAATTCTGAGGACTTGACTTCAAAGGCTGTGCCATTCTATAAGTATCATGGTCTTAAATATGACTGTGACCAAAATAGCTTGAATAGATATTTCTCTCAAGAAAACAGGCAAAAAAAAAATAATAATACAGGCAAATGGACGATCCACTAATGGGTGTGGAGTTAGGGCTGAAAAGATGTCCAATATCATTAGCCATCAAGGGAAATGCAAGTCAAAATCAGAATGAGATACTGCTTCATTCCCACATCACGGCTACACCATGTATACAAACTTTGAATGCAAACCAATTTTTTTAAATGTAATTTTTAAAAAAAAAGAGTAAGAAAAAACAGACAATAGCAAATGTTAATGAGGCTGTGGAGGAATTGGAATGCATGTGCGTTGCTGTAAGAAGTGAAATGACGAAGCCACTGTGGAAAACAGCCAGGTGGTTCTTTTAAAAGGTTAATTCCAGGTGTGACGGGAGGGGCTCTGCTGAGAGGACATGAGTCTCTGTTCACAGAGTAGAAACTTTTGTAAATGGGCAGTGGTGATGGCCACACAGAATGGTAAGAATAGCCAGTGACCACCATGGAAAAAAGGATGAGCAGGAAAAAGTTTGACTTTTTATATATTTTTATCACAATAAAACCATTTTTAAAACACAGAATTACTGTACATGCAGCAATTTTATTTCTAGATCTATACTTAAGAGAACGGAACAGAGGTTCTAAGTACTTGTGCCTGGGCTCAGCTGGCCTAGCCCGTAGCTGGGTGCACCGCGGCTCGGGCCATCTCCCCGTAGCGGGGTGCACCACGGCCCAGGCCATCTCCCCGTAGCGGGTAGCACTGCGGCTCAGGCCATCTCCCCGTCGGTGGGTGCACTGCAGCTCAGGCCATCTCCTCGGTGCTTTGGAGCCGTCAGCAGCTCCGCAGAAGAAAGATGGGCAGTTGTCTCCCATGCAATTTACAGCCTCCAGAAACCCACTGGAAGGTCAATTACGAGTTGGTGGCTTCAGCTTGACAGCAGAGTTTTGAGATAAATGTTTATTGTTGCTTGAGTCACAATCAACAAAAGGTGGAAATAAATGTCCACCAACAAATGAAGAGGTAACCAAGAGATGTCGCGTCCATATAATGGGACTATTGCTCGGCCTTAAAAAGAAGTGAAGCTCAAAGGCCGAAGTGGTAGCCTAGGATTAATTAATGGACTTGAGAACGACAGGAAAGGAGGAGGAAGGTTTGATTGTGCTGTGGTTTTGGTAATTAATGGATCAAACACAATATATATGGATGGTTGCATAATAGAAAACCGAGCTACTTTGCAACTGTTCAAATCACATACCCCCACAAAAGACATGAAGTCACATAATATAAAACATCCACAAGAGAAATGAAGTCATGGTACACGCTGCAACATTGGTGAGCCTTGAAAACATTCTGCTTAGTAAACTTAAATCTGTTACAAAGGGACGAAAATCACATGAGCTTACCTGCATGCAATAACTAGAAAAGGCAAGTGCATTGGGACCAAAGTTCACTGGTGGTTCCCAGGGTGGGAGGAAGGGAAAGGGGTCACTGCTGAGGGATACTGTTCTGGGAAGGGTGGTAGAGAAATGAGACAGGTAATTGTCAAGAATGTGGTAACAACCACTGCTGCTGGACCTGGCTCTGACTAGGACGTTTCTGAGGTGCAGATCTGTGTGGGAGGAGCGCGCTCATTTCTATCCTCAGCACGTCTGGTGGATTTGAACTGCAGACCAGTCAGTTTGCAGCCACTAGGCTACCAGAGCACCTTGAACATGAATAATGTCACTCATTGGGACATGTGGAGAATGAGGATGAGGTAAATGAGTAAAAGAACTGTGCACGCAGAGCCTCCCCAAAGTGAATCTGGTTATTGTATCATCTTTCAAAAATACTGAATTGGCCGCTTTTCTTAGAAGTATTTCTATCACAATAAAGCATCAAAGAAGAATGCAGAGTTAGTCATTAAAAACAAGACAACAAGCTGAGTGTCACTGAGTCGAGTTGGACTTCCTAACAGCCCTGAAGGATAGAATGGACCTGCCCGAGAGGCTCTGCTGAGCTGTCGTCCCACAGAAGAGACAGCTTCATCATTCTCTACAGGCTGGTGGTTGGAACGGCCTCTCAGCAGTCAAGGGAAGCGCTTTAACTCCTGTACCACCAGAACACCTGCCGTGGTTAATTCTGTGAGTCAAAGAGGCCGTGAGCACCACTGTAATTAGTTAGCTCAGGTGTTGTAAACTAACCTCTAGGTGTGTAAAGTTCTGAAGAGCAAGGAGGTCTTTTAAGTCTGAGGTGCCCCTGACCCAGTCTCAGCATTTTCAGTGGTTTTGCATGCTCCTGACAGTTGAACAAGAATCAAGAAGGCTGAGGAGGCATTGACATCTTTGAAGTGTGGTATTGGCAGTGTTGACTTAACATATGGACTGTCAGAAGGACAAACAGATCCATCTTAGAGGAAGTGTATCTATGGTGCTTCTTGGAGGCAAGGATGGTGCAAGTTGGTCTTACCTACTTGGTCTTCCCCTGCGTGCTGGGAGGAAAGGCCAGCCACCATGCTGGGAAAGGTGGAGGGTCGGCGAAAGACAGGAAGTCCTTCAGCAAGATGGATTGACACAGTAACACGGGGCTTGGACATAGCACACATGAGGATGGAGCCAGATGGGGTCACTATGAGTCGTAGATACTCAGTGGCACCTAATACCAGCGACAGTGATGTCAGTGAGGCAGGATTAAAGCCAGGACTGTAAAGATGCCATCAGCTGATCTGATGAAGGGAAGTGTCCACAGGCATGTGGCTTGTATTCTGTTTGCCTTCTTGGGGGAAACTAGGGATTCCCCTCTCCCAGTCCCACGGGAGAAAAATGGATGCCTTTGTGCTGTGGTGTTGGAGAAGAGCACTGAGTATCGCATGGCTCGTAAAAGAACACACAAGTCTTGGAGAAGGTGCAGCCGGAGTGCCCCTTGAAGGCAGTGATGACAAAGGTTCATCTCACATTCTTGGCCATGTTGCTAGGCTATTTCTTGAGAGGGGCATCGTGCTTGTAAAGGTGGAGGGTCAGCAAAAGATAGGAAGACCCTCAACCAGATGGGCTGACACAGTAACTGCAGCAATGAGCTCAGTGTGTCAGAGATGCTGAGGACGGCACAGGAAAGGGCAGGGTTCCGATCTGTTCTCACAGGGTTGGTGTGAGTCATACTGGCTTCATGGCCACCAGACTTGAGCCAGTGGCCTGCCATACGTGCTGACTGGGGACTCAGCTTCTGAAGCCAGCAGACTCCAAAGCTGGTCATCTGTGATCCTACTGCCCAACAACATCTGGGCTCATCAGCCTCTGATGCCAGCAGTCTGAGAGCCTGCCTGCTGACAGCCTCCACACTGCCTGCCCAGGTGCCCAGGTGCCTGTGTCGCGAGGTCTGACCCACAGACCTGGCATTTGTCAGCTCCTGCAAACTCGTGAACCATTTCACTGCATTTAATTTCTCTCTCATCTTTATCGGTTTTGTTTCTTTAAAGAACTCTGCCAGAAACAGCTCCCCTCGAACCACCGTGATCCAGAAATTCCCTTTCCAGGTGTATCAGGCACAGTTATTCTAATACTTGACTCTGGCATTCATGGATACCCACCTCCTAAAAGCTCAGAGGTGGAAACTGCCAGCAGATGTCCATCAGCAGATGAGCGGATGTTTTAGAAATGGGGGTGGGGGTGTGGGTGTGGGTGTGTGTAAGGAAAGGCTGTCACAAAGTCACATGACTTCACAGATAGGACATGTCCAGCCAGGTGAGTGACTTGATCGAGACAGCTAACTGGTGGCTGCCAGGGCTGAGGGAGGAGAGGACAGGAGTTGACTCTCCTGTATGGGCATGGTCTCTCTTTTGGGAGATCTGTTCAGGCCCTTGGGGACCAGCTCAGTTCTCCCCCAGGAAGAGACACAGGAAGCCTCTGGGAGGGTGGCTGCAAGGGTCTTGGCCTCAGAAGTTCTAGAGACCTTCACCTCTATGCTGAGAACACCTGGGACCCTTCTGGATCTGACAGGATTCTAGGTGGGCTGGAAGTGACACTGGCCCAGGGAAGGTGGAACCCCAAGCTGCTGAAACAGGAATGTGCCCTTCAGTGCCCAGTGGAGGCCATTTACTGCTCTGGACAGTGAAAGGGCAGGGGGGCTAAGCCAGCTCTGCACCTCAGTCCGGGCTCACTCTTGGGGTTCCCCATGTCCCTCCTGCTTGGAATTCCCACAGACCACCCACCTGCAGAGCCTCAGCTGTGGGAAGTTCCTTGGAGATGAAGACTCTGCTTTGAACCCAGCTGTTCCAAGAAACGAGGACCTCACTGACTGTGGTGACCCTGTCCCTAGTCCAGAAGGGCTCCTGTGTCCCTGGCCCCCTTCCTGCAGTCTCTGTGACTGCTGCTGCTGACACAGGGACTCCGTATCAACATGCAGAGGCTGGGGTGTGGACAGCTCCAAGTCTAAGTGTGCTAGTGTGGGGGTGCATGGTGTGTCTAGACCTGGCGCTGACCACCAGGCCCTCCCATCCTGCTGGCCCCACGGCACAGCTTTTCAGGCCCTCAGCATTCACCCTCACTGCACAACACTCCCACTTAGCTGACCCCCTCGGCGGGTTTGCAGAGGCTGCAGTCTGTGCTGGAGGAGACTGCCCATCTTTCTCCTGAAGAACAGCTGGTAGATTCGAACCTATTGCCCTTAGGTTGGCAGCCCAACTCCTTATCACTAGTACATCAGTGTTCGTTGTGCATTTCCTCTGAATTCTGGGGGAGGGCGGTGCTCAGAGCACACTGCCCTGCTCCTCTTCCTAACCGCCCAGGACCCTGGACAAGTGGGCCCAAACCCGGAGTCCATGCATGCAGCAAGGCTGGGGCCTCCAGGGCGGCAGGCTGTCCCGGCTTCTTGGGGGATCACAGCTCCAAGGGAACAAGCCAGCCGAAAGCCAGGGGCCCCTCTGGTGGGCAGCAGCGGCATGGGTACCCCAGCTGGCACCCCTCAACTAGTGCTCAGGGGTGCCACCAAAGGGCTGGGTCCACTGAGCCACGTCCAAGAAGACAGCCGTGGCACCGTGGTAGAGCCAGAGACGGGGCAGGGCACCACGGCGGGTCCAGGCGTCTCGCTTGCGGTCATAGGCCTCCATCTCCACGTGGTAGTCGCCATCCATGCCCTGCCAGCGGCCGCCTGTCACATACAGGGCGTCCCCCAGAGGCACCAACCCGCCGTTCTCATGCAGGCTGTGCAGGGACTGCACCTGAGGGGCCGGCCAGAGAGAGAGAGCATGTGGGTACAGCCACCAGGAGGGCCAGAGTGGGCGGGACCAGAGGAAGAGGGGTGGGGTCAATCAGGGTGGGCAGGACTGCAGACAGGGGGCGGGGTCAATCAGGGTGGGCAGGACCAGAGGCAGAGGGGGTGGGGCCAATAGTTGGGGCAGGGCCAGACAAGGTAGGTGGAACCAGAGGCAGAGGGATCAGGCAAGGTGGGCGGGACTACAGCCAGGGGGTGGGGTCAGTCAGGGTAGGCGGGACCCGAGGCAGATGGGGCGGGACCAGGAAGGGTGGGAGGGACTAGGGGCAGAGTGGGTGGGGCCAGTAGCTGGGGCAGGGCCAGAACAGGGTGGGTGGGGCCAGAGACAGGGAGGTGGGGCCAATTGAAGGATGGGCGGGGTCTGGGAGATGGTGGGCGGGGTAGCGGGTGGGGCTGAGCCAGAGGCAGGGGCTAGTGGGTGGGGCCGAGTGCTGCAGGGGAGTGGAAATGAGGGGGCGTAGGGAGGTCAACACCGAGGGTGGGAGCAGGGCTAGAACATGTGGAAGGTCAGGATCAGGAGGTTGAGGTGGGTCCACTGGGCAAGTCAGGGTCAGCAGGTGTGTCCATGGGGCACTACAAGCAGGTAGGGGTCAATGGGGGAACATGAGGGCCAACAGACAGACCTGGGACCCACATACAAGGCAGAAACAGGTCAGGGCCTGCAGAAGTGAGGGGTTGAGCTGGGGGTGGAGGTCAGGGTGGAAAACAGCATAGTACAGATTAGACAGTGGTTGCCCAGCAGTGGGGTTGAAGGATGACCAGCTCCTGCCGTCCCCCTGGGGCTCACCCCAGAATCCCTACAGCGTCTCTGCATTCCTACCCCATGCAGGCCTGTTTCAGATTCCTTGCTAAAGGGAATTCCATTGCACCTCCCAGGCTGGCTCTCCAGACCCTTGTTAGCCTGTCTGTGGAGTTGGGAAGTTGGATGGGACTGAAGGCTTCTCAAATAAGGACAGACATGGCTCAGCTCTGCTCCAGACACCCAGGCTAGTGCACCCCTCTCCCAGGGACCTCTGACCCTTGCACCCCTACTTGGCTGTGTCCTGGCACGGCACTGGGAAGACCTGCAGGCTAAGCTGGAGAAAAGTGTGGACCTCCACAGGCCCCAGGGGACACTGCTGTGACCCCCTGGAGCAGAGGCTCAGGCCAGGAGGTGGCCAGCTGGCAGGACCCAGCAGCACCTGTTTTTCTGTGGGAATAGGGCCTGGTTAGAGTGCTGACGTCAGGGGACAGCTGTGGGCGGCAGGATGCAGGGCCTCTGCTTTCCCCGGGGTGGGTGTTCCTGCCAGGCAGTGGGGGGACGGGCCCGCCCCTCACCCACAAGGCCTACCTTCTGCCACAGGTTGGCCCCAGGGTCATACACATAGACCTTCTTAGTGTTGTCCCCGACGAGGTAGAGAGCGCCATCCAGGGCAGCACAGCGCGGGGAAGACAGGTACTTGGGGAGGAAGGGTGAGGCAATCACGGTCCAGGCATCTATGGGGACACGGGGGCTCCTGAGCTGTGGCCCTCGGGAACCACCTTGGACTTCCTTCCAGGAAAGATGGTGGATGAGATGCAGGACATGAGAAACTGTCCTCAGAGTGACCTTGGATGGTACACTGAGACCCTCAGTCTCCTTCTCCGTGGGCGGTACACTCTGACCCCCAGTCTCTTCCTTTGTAAGTCTGGTGGGGCAATGCGGGTAGTACAGTCTGACCCTCACTTTGTTTATAATGAGGTCAGTTAGGAGGTTCCATGGGCTGGCCCCTTCCATCTCACTTGCTCCTTCTGGGAGGTGGGGAGGGACAGAGCCTCCTCACAAGCTGTTGGGCATAGGTCTTCCCAAAGTATCATCCTGGCTTCTCACCTGTGACCGGGCTGTAACACTGCAGGGTGACCCCTGACTCCTCACCTGTGAGGGGGCTGTAGCACTGCAGGGTGACCCCTGACCCCTCACCTGTCACCTGTGACTGGGCTGTAGCACTGCAGGGTGACCCCTGACCCCTCACCTGTGGCCGGGCTGTAGCACTGCAGGGTGACCCCTGACCCCTCACCTGTCACCTGTGACTGGGCTGTAGCACTGCAGGGTGACCCCTGACCCCTCACCTGTGACCGGGCTGTAGCACTGCAGGGCCAGGGCGTTGTACTTGCAGGCGCTGGAGCCCACCAGGTAGAGGCGGCCTTGGCAGCCAGCAGCAGAGAAGTTGCTGACGTATTTGAGCGCTGGACTGATGGGCGTCCAGCTATCAGTGAAGGGGTCGTAACTCTCCACCTCCACCACGTCCGAAGTGGTCCCTGTGGGCAAGGACAGGGCTGTGGCAGGCTGCGGAAGCTCATGTTCGAGGAAACTCGGGGCATGAGCACAGCCTGGGGGTTGGGGGAGGGCAAAAGCCCCTGAGGCCCTGGGGCAGGCAGGACCGGAACCCCGGGCAGTGGACCAGCACTCTGTCTGGACCCTTGTCCCCGCCACCGCTGATCCTGAGCTCTTCCAATGTGCTGATGCCCCTTCACAGAGTCAGGGGGGATGACAAGACTTCCTTCTGGAAGGGAGTACCCGCTTCTCACTGGGTCTGGAAAAACTGGAGAGACCCTGAGGGACCCAGCTCAGCAGCGACCCGAGACCCTGCAGCCTTTCAGGACAAGGGCCAGATTGTCACCCAGTCACATCCTCCCCAGCTGCGCCCATCAGCACAGTATCCAGCTGCTCGGTCTGTCTCGGGGCAGGTCTCGTCATCAGCGGAGTCCCTGTCCTTGGGCTTCAAAGAAGAGTGGAGAGGAAAACGGCAGCAAAGGACATGTGGTATCCCCTGGTCTGGGGGTCCCCGGGCGGTGCCGTTGGCCCAGTGCAGCCAAGGCTCTGTGGGAAGGGCCACGCATCCACCTGGTCCCAGGGCCACTGTCAGCAGGTCTGGAGTGCAGAGCTCTGATGAGGGGCTGGTCTGCCCACTGGACAATGAGTGCCTGCAGGCAGGGTGGTGGGGAGAGGGTGGGTGGGAGAAGCTGCAGGCTGGCAGGCTCACCTCCGATGGCATAGATCTCCCCGTTGAGCGCAGCGCTGGCGTGGTTGGTGCGGGCTTTGAGCATGGGTGCCACCGGCTTCCAGGCCGCCTCCTTCAGTGGGAAGCACCAAGCCTGCGTGGTCGACCAGGTGTCTGTCTTGGAGCCCCGTGAGCCCCCTGTGGGACAGGCTCTGTCTATAGGTGGCCACCAGCCCTCATGGCAAAACTGCAGCCCAGTGCAAACTGCCTTTAGTCAACGTTGTCAAGATTCCCCATCCAATCAGCATGCATGGAAACAGCAGTGAGGGAATCAGATGAACCATCACAGTGGGCAAAGCTGCTGCTAAACTCTCTACAGTGTCCCAAAGCAAATGCCATCTTGAGGACTGCTGTGCTCCTGACCACCAAGCCATGGATTCCTGGTACGACACAGACCAGAGCCACCAGTAGCCTTCAAGTGCGAGTTAAACTCCTGAACTCACAGCTGTCGGCAGGGCCCAGCCTTCAGCCAAGCACTGGACGGGCCTATAAGGTAAACAAAGCACCAAGGAACCTCGTACTGCTCACACGGGCAACTGTGTTGTTGTTAGGTGCCACTGACTTGAGTACAACTCCTAGCGGCCCTGTGAGCAACAGGCCTGAACCCCGCGCCGTCCTCATCAACTCTGACACACTTGAGCCCACTGCTGCAGTCACCGTGCCAACCCATCTTATTGAGGGTCACCCTTTGTTGACCGTCCACCTTTCCAAAGATGCTGTCCCTTTCCTAGCCTCTCCCAGCAATATCCCCAAAGCGTGCAAGACGAAGCTTCACCATCCTTGCCTCCAAAGAACTCTCTGAGCCTGCTTCTTCCAACACATGTCTGTATAGGATCAAAAGGCCAACCAACTTTGCCCAGGGATAAAGTTAGGAAGGCAGGAGGGAGAAGCTAAAAGGACTGATGGAAAGAGAATCTCGAGGTGGGAGTGGGGGGAGTGTGATTACAATGTGGGAACTGTAACTGATACTAAAAAAACCCTGCGGGTTGGGTGGAGAACGAAGTTGTTTTGATTTATAAAAAAGAAGTGAGAAAGCAAGACTTTGTCGGATGTACTTTGGACACGTCATCAGGGGAGGCCAGTCTCTGGAGAAAGATGACATGCTTGGTTAAACGGGTCAATGGAAAAGTGGAAGACCCTCTCTGAGACAGTCACTGATTCCATCAATGAGTTCAAGTGCCGTGGAGGTCAGGGGCACGGGGCAGGATGGGGCAGGATTTCCTTGTGCTGTCTATGTGGTCCCTGTAGACTGGAATCCACCTGACCGCACCTTTACAACAATAGCACTGTAACACCTGGTCAGACCTCCAAGTCAAGCCCATCTGCGCCTTCCCTGCTGCCAGGGAGGAACACTGGTCTGTGAAGTGTTCAAGGTCAAGGTCTCAGCGTCTTGGGCAGTAGACAAGAGGTCACTGTGTTACCCAGCGTCCCCACAGGTTCTCACACTCCGTAGGAGCAGCTTCCTCACTCCAGGGCTCTCCCAGCCGCTCAGCAGTGCCCCCTTCGGGCACCCCACCTCCTCTGCATGGATGGCCGCTTACCAGCCCAGGCTGCCATTAGGGGCTGGGCATGCCATGCAAGGTGGAGATTTCCTGGAGATTTTTTTAAGACCCACGTGACTGTAGAACTGGCCTGTGGAGTCTCACCAGCTGTTTTATTACAGATGGCCTTTGTGCCTTGGTCTTGCAGAGTGAGTTCTTGAACTACTAACCTCTTGGTTACCAGCCAAACACAGAGTGTATGAGCAGGGACCTTCAGGTCACAGGGTCAGGGGTTTGAAGCACCCAACGGTCTGCAGGAGGAGGATGGCGCAGTGTGTGTAGTCACAGGCTAAACTCTGCTGTGTGGTAAGACCAGCTCACAGCTGACCCTCCAGCAGGTCTTCAGAGGAGGAGACTGCCCATCTTTCTCCCTCAGAGCAGCGGGTGGATTCACACCGGCAGAGAGCTTGACCTTCGGGTTAGAGTAACTTCCTGCGGACTGGTCACCAGAGCTCCCTGAGATCACATGGAGGACCTGGAACGGGCAGTTCTGCCATCCCATACGGTCTCTGTGAGCCAGGATTGGCCATGATGGGCTTGGATTTGGGGGCTGTGCTGAAGTTGTGAGGCCGGGGTCAAGCCACGGGCCACAAATCCTGTAATAGGATGGCCCTCGGCTAGCGCCCCGGCCAGTCTCTCATCCCCACACCAAAGGGCAAGGCCAGTAGTTTCCCCCAAGCTGACCCTCACCACCTTCACAGGAGGTCCCTCCATGAGCAGGGCATTCTGGGGAGCCCCTAGGTGTGGGAATACAGGGTCAGGCAGTGCACGTAGACGGTTCCACCTCTAAATTCAGCCTGAGGTCTTCACAGGCCTGGAAAGGTCGGCAAGGACTGACCCCTGACTGAGTGGGAAGGGGAGCTGGGCTCCGCGGGAAGGCTGCCCACCTGTAACATAGATGTCGTTGTTCAGTGCTGCCAGCGAGAAGCCCCACTTGTGGTAGTCGGGGAAGTCAGGGAGAGCCATCCACTGTTCTGGGGAGGAGAGGGAGTGAGGGGTCTCTTCTGGCCAAGGAGACAGTGACTTCCCCACACGGGCCAGGGCTTAGCTGACCACAGAGGTGGGGCTGCCAAGTTAGGAACTGAGCCTAAGGCCAACCCTGCCCCCCGCTGGACACAAGTGACCACCAAATGGACAAAGCCACAGCCCAGGCCTCAGAGACCAAGGCCTCTGACTCCACACAGACCGTCTGGCTCAGCATCAGACCAGCCTCTGTGGGGGTGATGCCATTCAGGAGTAAGAACACAGTGGTTGCCCTCCTCCTCACCTTCCTCCCCCCTTCCTTCCCTCTCTTCCCCCTCCCTCTCCCTGCTCACCCTTTCCCCTCCTTGCTCACCTGCCTCCCTCCTTTTCTCTCTTCCTCTTCCTCCCCCACAACCTTCTCCATCCTTCCTTTCCTCTGTCCCTCCCTCTCTCCCTGTCCCTCCCCTCCTCCCTCCTCCCTCCCTCCTTTTCTCCCTTCCTCTCTCCCCAGCCCTCCCTTCCCTCTCCCTCCTCCTTTACCCTCCTCCACTCCTTCTTCCTCTCTCTCCTCCTCTCCCTCCCTTCCCCCTCCCTCCCTTCCACCCTCTCTCCTTCTCTCTCCCTCTTTCTCCTACCTCCTCACCCTCCTTGTCGTTGCACACATCCTGAGCTCCTCTGCCCCATACTGTCAGGTTCACAGAGGTCAGACACAGGCCTTACAGCAGGCAGCACAAGTTCAAATCCTGTACCAGCCACTTGGCCTTGGGCAAGTCCCAGCCTCAGTTTCCCTGTCTGTAGAATGGGGTGATCTCACCCCTTGAGGAGGTGCAGGGTTACAGGAGCTGACGCTGCATTTGGCCCACGTGGTAACTGATGGGATTATTACTGTCCTTATGAGGGACCGAGGGACACTCAAGTCAGACCTGCCTTCGTGGAGCTACGTGATGAGCTGATGTGAGGGGTGAGACAACGCAGAACGAGGTGGTAAACGTGCAATGTTACCAGCTCTGTCCACAGAAGGTTCTGGAACACTTGTGAAGCCTGGGGTTTGCTCCCCTGGGACTCCACTGTTTGCGGTTTACCACAGTTTTAGTTGCATGATGAGCTCCAGGCCCTGGTGGGAGCCTGCCCTCTGACAGGACAGACTGTCCCCCAGCTCACGTCTGTGTCACCCCTAGATAAGCCCAGCCAGCAGTGGGTCCTCGGGCTGCCAGCCGCTCCTTCTGCCATCTGTGTGGGCAGCTGTTCCCAGGTGAAGCCAGACCTCATTTCCTGACATCAGCCCAAACCTCCCTCGTCAGCCCCTGACCCAGGCAGAAGCCAGTTGCTAATGCAAGGAGGTGACTGGCAACCTGTCCAAGTCTGGGACCTGCCAGCTTCTCGGGAACCTCCTGATAGCTCCCTAGGTCAACATGGCTGAGCCCCAAAGCCTTCCCAGGGCCCCTCTCCAATGTGGGGATCACAGGTGCCCATTTCACAGACAAGGAAGTGTAGTTCCAGGAAGTGACGTCACCTGCTTGAGGACAGAATGGGGCCCTCATCTTGCACTCTGACCTTCCCACAGGCACCAACCCCACCCGTGACCACTTCCCACGGGTGTACACTGCGATCCTATATACAATTGAAGTAAAAAGATCTGGGGACCCTATCCACGGTCAAGGTAAGAAGACCCCGGGTGTGGCCCGGCACACACCCATGGCAGTGGACAGGAAGGTCCGCCCGCGCGGGAGTCCGGCCTGAGCCCCAGCAGGGGAGAAAGGCTACTCACTGGCCTTGGGGTTGTAGAAGGCAAAGTTCCCAGGCCGAGGCTGCAGCTCTTCCACTGCTTCCTCTTCCTCCTCCAGCGCCCGCCCGCCCACCACCACCAGGACCTCTTCCAGCGCCTGGGGGACGGCCAGCAGCTCCTGCGGGGAGAGCTGGTCAGTGGTCTCAGGGAGAGGGCCGAGTCAGGACACTGGGGTGGGGAGGGTGGGATTAGGGGGCTTAATGGGAAAAGTAGGATTGGGGGCTTATGAAGGAGGGCCAGGCCAGAGGACTCAGGGAGGGGTAGGGTCAGGAGTTCTCAGAGGAAAAGAGCGAGGTCAGGGCCGTAGAGAAGGAGCAGGGTTGGAGGGCTCAGAGGTTAGGGCATTTGGAGTCTTGGGCCCGGTCAGGGGGCTTGGAGGAGGGCTGGGTGGGGGTGCAGGGGGAGGCTGAGTGTGGGTGCTGAGGGCACCAGGCAGGCCTGCTCGTGTTCTCTGGGTGGCAGGCCTGCACGTTTGGGTGTTCCTCTGGTTCACGTGTTCATGAGGTGGGGGCCTCCGTGTGTGTGCATATGTGTGATGTGCATTCGTCAGTGTGTGTGCACGTGTGTGTACATGTGTGCTGCCATGTGTACATCACAAACACGTGTGCACACATGCACGTGTGCATGTTACATGTGTGCCCATACATGCCTCACCCCATGTTGGACCCACCAAGTGCTACTGGAGCCCTGTCTCCGGGGGTGACCCGCTTGACAGAAGTTCCTTCAGGACAGGCTGATCTTATCAGTGTTGGACCCCCCCCTTCCTCTCAAACTCAAGTCTGGCCCACACTGTGCATTTTAGGGTGGTATGGTGGGACTCTCATGGGGGACCTGCCCAAGGCAGATAGTGTTGAAAGCTTAGCAAGAAACTTGGGGTGCCCGTGGCCTGCTCTCTCTCCCTGTGTGAGTGGGGTTCCCAGGGCCTCTTATGGATAGAATTGTACCCTCGCCCAAAGATGTGCTGAAGTTGGTATTCAAGTACCCTGAGCCCATCCTGTCAAGAGATGTGGTTTTCTTGTTATCAGATAATGAGTACATCTGTTGTAACAGACTTCTGTAAGTAAGGCTGTCACCTTGAGGACTAAGGTGTGCCTGTACTAACCCACAATATTTTCAATCACCTCACATGCAAGGTGTCTGCCACAACGGGCTCTAATGTGTCAGAAAGCGTGGAGATAGCACAGACTAGGACAGGGTTCAGATCTGTCGTTCATAGGGTCACGATGGGTTGTACTCAACGGCACCTAACAACAACAGCAACAAATAACATATTCTAACATATTCGAGGCCTAGGGGTATGATGCTGTGCTGCAATCCCAAGAGCACACAGTTCGAATCCACCAGCTCCTGTGCAGAAGGATGGACATTCACCTCCCGTGTGATTTACAGCCTCTGAAAACCTGCTGGAGGGTCAGCTGTGGGTCGGTTCCAACTCAGTGTCACACAACAACATGTGCATGGGGAAGATGGACAATAAATAAAGAAGACAGAAGAACTGATGCCTTTCAGCGGTGGTGTCCAGGAACATTGACTAGACCATGAACTACTAGAAGAAAAATCAAGTCCATCTTGGTTGAATGCAGCGTGAGGCTCCTTAGAAGTAAGCTCAGGAGACTTTATCCCGTGCACTCGGACACGTATCCTGGAGGACCAGCCCTTGAAGCAGGACCTCAGGCATAGTTAACTAGAAGGTCAGCAGTAGCCTTGAAGCCTTTCAGTGAGCTGGGGACACAGTGGCTGCAACAATGGGTTCAAGGCCAAGACTGAGGACTGTGAGGCTGATGATGTAGACCTGGCCTGTGATGGGGCTACTCTGAGCGAACAGGACAGCAACCACAGGAAGGTCATATCACAACAGGGGGGGCCCTAATCCTAACCCCTTCTGGCGGTGGTTTATGAGAGAGAGAACAGTGACAGACAAGAACACACGGGAGGAGATCTGTGTGAAGTTCTGTTTGCACACTAGGTGACACTAAGAAATGCCTTGTAGAACATAAGGAAGGTCTAGGGGAGGGGTGGGCAGGGAGAAAAGTGCAACAATGAATGAATAGAAACCCTAAAAAATAATAATAATTGGGAGCTCTTGTGGCCTAGTGGCAAGAATCTGCTCTGCAATCCTAGAGGTACAAGGTTTGAATCCACCAGATGCTCTGCTGGAGAAGGAGGGACAATCTCCTCCTGTACCAGTCAGATCCGATTTGACGGTACACACACACAAAAATAATAAAATAAAATAAAAATTAATTTTCTTTTACTTTTCAAAGAGAAGAGCAAACTGGGTAGGAAGGGAGGAAAGTGCAACAATGAATGAATGGAAATCCAAAGTCTCTGTAAACTATAATTAAAAATTAATAATAATAGTAAAAAATCTTAATAAAAAAGTTGAAAAAAAAGAAGGTCTGATACTGCATAACACCAGTGTTATAAAATAGGACTGACATAGGGGTTGGGAGGAGAACCGGAAAAGAGTGGTGAGGTAATGAACACTGCATTGGAACAGAGGAGGGAAGAACTGTCTGAAAGGAATCTATGATTAGGCATTGCAATGCATGCAAGTCTGAAACAAGGGGTACATTGCAAAGTGGACTGGGGGAGAGGGGATGGAAGAAAATGTGCAACAATGAATGAATAAAAAGATTTCCTCAATGGAAAAAAAAGGTATTTTCAACACTTGTTGCAGAAGGTCCAAGACTACAGCCTTCAATATGGATTACGTCTCAACATCAAGAAAACAAAATCCTCACCACTGGACCAAAAGGCAACATCACGATAGATGGAGAAGAGATTGAAGTTGCCAACAATTTCATCTTACTTGGATCCACAATCAACACCCTTGCTACCAGCAGTTACGAAATCAAAAGACGTTCTGTTGGGGACATGGACTGTCAAGAATCTCTCCAAAATGCTCAAGAGCAAGGATGTCAGTTTAAAGACTAAGATGCATCTGATCCAAACCAAGGTATTTTCATTTGCTTCCTGGACTGCTGAAAGCTGGACGCTGAATCGGGAAGACCAAGGAAGAGCCAATGCCTTTGGACTGAGGTGCTGGAGAGGAGTCTTGAATGTCCATAGACTGCCAAAAGAACAAACTGTCTGGAAGGAAGTGTAAACAGGTGCTACCTCCTCAGAGGTGAGGATGGTGACTCAGGAGGAACCGGCCGGTGCAGAGAGAGATGATGGGAAATGTGTGTGTAGACTCAAGCTGACCCTCAGTGCGTTTTCAGAGGCGGTAAATTGCCTGGGAGGAGATTGTTCGTCCTTCTCCTGTGCAACAGCTGGTGGACTCAAACCTCGTACCTTTGGGATTGCAGCGCAGCTTCCTATCACTTCTTAGCATGAGTGTTTCTTGGGAAAGGTGTGGAGTCAGTGAAGGCGCAGACCCTCCGCACCATGGCCTGACCCAGCGGCTACATGAAAGGGCTGAGCGTGCCGGCGATTGTCAGGCTGGCGTAGCACCAGCCAGGGTTTGATCTGTCTTTGGGGTCACCATGAGTCATGGTCTACAGCAGTTCCTTTCTGCTCCCGCACTCACCTCTCCATGGCTCTGGGACAGAGCGGTCTGGGCCAGGGCAGCCTGGCATGCCTCAGAGGCCTGGATCAGGGGCTCCGAGGTCAGCAGCCGCTGCACGCAGGGCTGGGGCAGCGCGTCCAGGTGGACCAGGCCCAGCAGCTCTGGCAGGTGGGGCGCCCGGGCGGGCGGGTCGTGGCGCACCCAGCGCAGCAGGGCCTCCAGGCGGCTGGGCTCAGGCTGGACCTGCAGCAGCTCACTGGCCAGGCAGGCGGCCATCCGCTCACGGGGCAACTGCAGGAACTCGTCCTCCTGCGCCACGGCCTCGAAGTTCTCCCGCAGGAAGGCCCAGGCCTTGGCCGCCACACCCCGCAGGCCCTGCTGCTCCCCGAACTCACAGATGCCCAGGCAGTTGGTGGCATCCAGCTGCTGCTGCAGGTAGCGGCCACAGACCTTCTGCACAGCGGGGAAGTGGAGGCGCGCGGCCGTGCGGGTCAGCGCCTCCACGTTGGCCTGGGTGATGGTCAGCCGGCCCGTGTACACGAAGTCCACCAGCTGGGCCACCACCTCCGGCTCCACGTCCCGCAGCTCCACGCGCGCTGAGAAGCTCTCGGCGAAGTCGCCCGCGAACATGGCGTGGAAGTAGGGGCTGCTGAGGGCAAGCAGGCCACGGTGGCAGGGCAGCTCCCGGTCACCCACCAGCAGGGTGAGGTCGGCCAGCCTGGGCTGGGAGCGCAGGCGCTGTAGGCCATCCAGCATGTCCTGGGCGTGCGAGGGCAGGTGGAAGTCCAGGTCGTCGACGTTCTGCACCATGGTGCCGGGGTGACTGCCTGCTCACTGCAGAGGGAGAGAAGCGCTGGGGCAGCAAGGCCACCCCACCCTCCGTCTGTCCTTCCCACCTGCGACGAGCAAGGCCATGCAGAGTGCCCCCTCCCCCTGGCCTCCCCGCAAGGAATCGTTGGCAAATGCTGACCAGTGGGCTCGATGCCCAGCACCCTCTCCCCGCACAGCAGAAGGAAAGCCCGGCCTCCCGCACCACCCTCTGTCCTCGCGGTCTGCCCCACACAAGCCCATGGTCGCCGTGCTGTCAGGTCATCAGGATGAGGGTCTTCCTCTTTGCTTTTGACCTTCTCTACTTCAGCAAGCACCCTGTCTGTCCTTCTCCGGGACTGGCTTCTCCTGGCCAGAAGGAGCAGCAGTGGCCTCACACCCTCCCTGCTGGGAATCCCTCCAGCCACACTCCTCCCCACGCAGCCTGTGGTGGGTTTCACCAGCATCATGACACGAAGGCACCCCCCCCTCCTTCACTCTTCCTTATCCATCATGCCACTGTCTGTCTCCATCAGGTGACCAGCAAGCCCACGGTTTGGGTCGACCGCACCCATGAGGCTGCACCTGGACTGTTCCCTTTGAGGTGAGAAGAGGAAGACCAGAGGCCAGGAACCTACCCCTGGGCAGGCATGCAGGCGGATGGGGCATTGAGACCCTCACCGAGTGCCCCCATGAACTCTGAGTGCCCAGAGGAGCCCCCACCAGTGTGGGGCCCCAGGGCTTCCTCCTCCTCTGGATGTGACTTTACTGGGAGGAGGTCAGGTTGTGTGGAAGGTGTCCCGCCCCCTGGTGCTCACTGCCTGGGGGCACAGAGCCTGCCGTGACCTTGCTGAGTGACCTTGTGTGGCCATGGCTGTCTCTGGTCACGGCTCCTCTCTGAGGAGCTCAGTGCTCACCCCCAGGTCACCCTCACCCGTGAGCACAGAGCCTTGCTGTCACCACTGGCCACACAAGCCCTCCCAGCTCTCCTGCCAGCAGAGGCTGCAATCCTACTCACCAGGGGAGAAACTGAGGGACAAAGAGCAAGGTCACTCGCCCAAGGTCACGCAGCTAGGATGTGGTGGCCTTCAAACTCAGAACCCAGACTCCAAGCTGCTGCCTACCAGTTGCTAAAGACAAACCTGGCTGGAGGAACTTTCTGGAAGGTAATTTAGAATCCTTTCGCAGTGTTCACGCTCTGCTGAGTTTATGTAGTTCCTGTCAGTTGATTGTGGAGCACCTGGGCACTGCCGGTGGTGGAGGCGCCCGGCTGCTTTCTGCAGGCCCGGGGGACTCGCGTTCACCGGCAGGTGCCTCAGCAGAGCAAGCTCACAGCTGATGCCTAAAACCAGCCCCGGACCCTCCAAGATCCGCTCTGACCACAGAGGCTGCTGGGAGCCGAAGTCACCTTCACGGTTTGGCTTAATTTCTTCAAATTCTGATCGTTTTGGCCCAAGAGCCACACAGAAGAGTCCACCGGGGTGCCACTTGGGGCTCAAAGGAAAGCAGAGCTGTGTGGACACTGGTTCACAGGACCAAGCGGATCAGAGGAGTCCTGGGAAAGGGACCTGCCAGCTGTGGGCGTCTGTGGCAGGAGACAGCGGCAGTGTGATGCGGGCAGCGAGAGCTCATGGCCCCCCACCTCCCAACCACAGCGCCCCAAAGCCAGGTGCCCAGGGGCATGTGGGGCCAGTGGGCCCATTGTCCACACCTCGCTGTATGTCCGCCCTGGGGGAGCTCTGGGCAGGAAAGCGGCTCTGTCCCCTCTGGGCCTCTCCTTAGCCGCCCCGGGGCCATCCATTGCAGCCATCTCTGTGCGGCCTTTGGCCAGCTGTCAGTGACAGGGCCAGTGGGCGGCTCATCCAGCCACATTCCTCAGGGCCTCAGGGCATCTGCTGACTTGGGCTGCTGCAGCCCCTAACAAGGGTGGGCTCCTGCCGGGATCAGAGGAGGAGGCGGAGGGCCTTGCAGGTCTGTGGTGCCCACCACACTCCAGGCCCTTCATGGAGTGGGACCTGAGGCCACTGGGAGGACTCTGAGCTCTGACCAGGCCAGCCAACATGCAGGGAACAGGCCACACCCCAGCTTGGCCAGTTACTGCCTGGTGTGACCCTGGGTGCATCTTAGTGGCCCTGTCTCCCCACTATCCACCTTTCTGGGTAGAAACCTCAGGTTCGTGGATTCCCCCTGAGGGCTGCTGCTTGGCCATGTGGAGAGGTCTCTCCCCAGAACCCCAACTGCCAGATCTCTGGAGGTTGAAGGTCTCCCCAGACACAAGCCTGACCCAACCCCTCTCTCACTCCCTGCTCCCTCGCCCATGCCCCCCAGGACCCTGACCCTACCTTTCAGGGGCTTGGACACTGGCTGAGGCGTGCTGAGAACAGGACTGCCAGGGAGCGGGGCGCCAGGGCGGTGCTGGGAGCCACGTGAGTCAGGGGTATTTTTAGCAGGAGGTGGGAGGGGTGGGTGGTGGAGAAGAGTGACAGGCCCTGAAGGCCTCTCTGGGCCCTGGTGTGAGCTGCAGTGGACAGGATGGGGCAAAGGGAACCCAGAAGGGAGGCCGAAGAGAACAGGGTGGTCTCAGCCTGCATCCCGCCCTGCAGCTTCCCCTACCGCCCTTCTCTGAATTGGGGGTCAGAGGCCAGCACAGGGATCACGAAGGCCTAAGGCCCAGGGCTTGATGCCTGGGGTGACCTCACTGTCACCACCAGAGACCCTCTGACACCTCACGGTTGTCGTTAAGTGTTGCCCAGCTGACCCTACAAATCGAACCCCCGCCCTGTCCTGCTCACTCACCATTCCTCACTTGCTTGAGCCCAGCCGTTCACCAAGTGGGAGCAGTTACTGCAAGTAGACGAAGGCTGGCCAGCCGTGCGTCCATGGTGAGGAAGCCCTTTATTTACAGCCTTGGAACATGTTGGTGGGTTTCATGCAGGGCCTGCGTCCATGGTGGTGGTGAGGAAGCCCTTTATTTACACCCTTTGCACATGGTGGGTCTCATGCAGGGTGCACCCCTCAGCACAGTGTTCCTCTTCAAGGACTGACCTCTCCTGAAAGCGTGCCCAGAGTAAGTGAGACCAGGTTTCGCCACACTTGCCTATAAGGAACACTCTGTTTGCATTTCCTTCAAGACCGATTTGTTTGTTCTTTCGTTGGTCCATGAAATATTCACTACTCTTCAACATCAAGTTCAAAGACATTGATTCCACTGACATACTTATTCATTGTCCAACTTTCAGATGCATAGGAAGCAATTGAGAATACCCTGGCTTGAATGAGGCTCACCTTAGTGTTTCTGAAAGCAAGTTTGTATCACATGCTATTGCGCATTGGTGATGAATCTTACTCCAATCCTGATGCTACCTACATTCTCCAGCACAGAGTTCAGCTTCTTGAATTATTCACTCAGCGTACACATTGAATGAGTATGGGGAAAGGACACAGCTCTGACGCACACCTTCCCTGGTTTAAAACCATTTATTATCCAGTTATAATTGGAACATGAATTAGGTGAAGTATAAATCTAGGAAAATTGTAAGATGTCAAAAACACATAAAGAGAGACATCCTAGATGTTAATGAGCTGAGATGGACAGGAACTGGCCATTTTGAATCCGATAACCACATGACCTACTATTCCTGAAATGACAAACTGACCAACAGACGAGTGGCTTATCCTCAGAATGATGCTAGTTCAAGAGGCTGTCATCTCAACTAATCCTCAGTGTCCAGGGGGTTCCACTCACAGGGCTCTGGATTGGGGTGGCCCAGCCCAGCCCTAGTCCAGGCCAGCTCACTCCCACCTCTAGACCAGCCTGAGTCAGCGCAGGCCCAGCCCAGCCCAGCCTTGGCTTAGCCTGGCCCAGCCCAGACTAATTCAGCCCTGCTCCAGTCCCAGTAATATCCCACCTGCACTCAACCCTCCTCCACCCTGCCTAGTCCAGTCCCAGGCCAAGTCCGGTTTAACTCGGGCCCAGCCCTCACACAACCCAGTCCTGCGTTAGCCCAGCCCAGCCCACCCCAGCCTCAGTGCAGTGTCCCTCAGTGTAGGACAGACAGTCCAGTCCCAGTTCCGTTTAATTCATCCCAAGCTCTACCCCAGCCCAACCCCAATGCAGTCCCATTCCAGTCCAGCCACAGCCCAGTTCACTCAAGTCCAGCCCAGCCCTGCCCCTTGGCCTTGGTGTCCAGAAGCAGCATGTGGAGGCCCCTGGAGAAGGCGTAGTGGCTTCCTGTTCGTTCGCCAGCCACTGCTGCCTCAGGCTGGAGGAAATGACAGGGGACCCTGGGGACAGATTGCTCTCCCGGGAAGCTGGCTCCCCCCGGGAGCAGAGCCGCACGCCAGAGTGCCGGCCCCTTGAGACAGAACCAGCACCAGAGACCCAGCACCTCGGATGACAGGCCCATCTGGGAAACTCAACACCAGGGGCTCAGTGAGGAATCATCACCGGAATGCTGTCCTGCTGCACAGGGCTGTTTTCAAAAACAAGCTGACTCGTTGGTCCTGGTACCAAGCTCCTGCTCCTGGTAGAAAATGTGGAGACACAGGAGAGCAAAAATAGCCCCAGTAAAGAGCCTCAGCGTCGGTGTACCGTGTCTTCCTTGCTGTTCGCAGGCCTGGAGCCGTGAGGGACCTGTCTACATGCTGCCTCCTTGTCTGTGTTCTGTTTCACCATCTGATGTCACACAGGCTCTGAGAACACGGTCCGGGGTGTGATAGTGGGGGAATAAATCACACCCTAAGAGCTTCCTATAATGCACAGGCAGGTTGTTTATCACGTGGGATTGTTTTAAGGACTGTGGCTAACTCCCAGAGCTGATTCGGAGCATGAATCACCAGGCTAAGACATGGAACCGTATTTAAAAGTTGATGCACTCCCCAAGGGGCCCCTAGCCCAGATATGCAAGCACTCCCCCTCTCAGCCCCCTGACAACCCAGTGGCCATGAGTCACCGCGTGTGCAGGAGGACAGGGTTTCCAGTGGCTGTGACCTTTAGGGCCTAGTCCACTGGCCTCTCTGGAGGCACATGAGGTCACTCTACCGGCAACCTTCCGGTCTGCCGCCCAGCATGGTGCATTTACATCACCAGGGATTCGAGTGGGAGAGGCAACCCCACCACCTTGCTCCCAGGGCATGGCTCGTTCACAGTGTCCCAGCTGGAACTGCCCATGGGCACTGGGTCATTCATACTCCTCCCTTCATAGATGGGTGACAGCTGCCTTCGGCTCCACCCTGACCATCCCCCTCCCATGAACCCATCTCCCTGCTCTGGTCTGCTGATGGGGACCCTGCCGTCTGGTTCGTTACAGCTCTATAATCATGATATCTGTTTGGAATGAACCCCCCATTCACCACCCTCTCTGAAAGTATTTCTGGTCTGTTAGGCGTCATCTTTTGCGACAAACCATATTATGCCAACGTTTAGGGTCATAAAACAAGCACTTCTGAGGGCCGCAGACCCTGCAGTGTTTCAGCTGTTGTTCTGACTCAGGGTCTCCCATGGGGTCATCCCTTGCAGTCACTCCAGCCCTACAGGCAACTGAAGGCTGGGAGGGGTTGGGGTGGATGGACACCCTATGGCGCTGGCCGTGTGGCAGCCACTTCCCAGAGACAGAATGACAAACACATGCCCCAATGGCTTTCATAACTGGCTGCAGGTGGCTCCCACGGCCTCTGCCGTATTTCCTTGCTCCTGGAAGGAGTCTGCGGCCAAGGAAAGGTGGGGTCTCCAGGGTCCCCTTAGAGGCCAACCGCCATGATTGGCTTTGTGTGTTTTCTTTACTTCCAAGTGAATTTAAACTAAAAGCAAACAAACCAGATGCCAAGTGCACCCCCTCTGCCAGCAATCCTCTGTGGGCGCTGAGCTGTGTCTGAGCGGGAGAGGACCGCCCATCCTTCCCCCAAGGAGAAAGGTTCAAACGTGGAGATGTGTGGCCTTTGGCGAGCACGCTGTACCACACAGCACTCCACAGCCTCCTTAAATGATTCACTGTTGTCACGTTGTTTACGTCTAACGAGCGGCTTTTTTAGGGGCCATCTCTCCTCCCTTGTGATTAAAATGCCTCTGACATCGCCGGGAGAGAGTGTCCATCCTCCCTGGAGCAGCTGGTGCGTTCGAATCTGGTGCCTTTGGGATGCCAGCGCAGCTCCTTACCACTAGGCCACCAAAAATGAGCTTCAGTAATTTTTAAGAGGAAAAAAAAACCACAGGAGTTTGGATTAAACTTAATCCAAAGAAGGTAAACTTCTCACAGGTGCTGCATGTTTTAGCCTGAAGGTCTGTGACTTTGAGAACGTCTCCGGCCATCTCCCCACCGCGCAGGCTCACCCCTTGTTGTCCACCCTGGCCTTCCTTCCAAGACTTCTACCTTTCGCATCATGCTGTTAATTTCACATTCAGTAGACAACCCCTCACTTACCCATCCAATCGGGCCGACACTTTCCATTGGCTCTCGCAGCTGTCAATCACAGGAGAGGGGCTTGCCCGTCTTCCTCTGCGGAGCGTGGGTGGATTCGAACTGTGGCCTATGGACTAATAGTGTGACTGACTCCCTACAGTCTAGGCCTCCAGCGCCGGCTCGGTGGGAGAGCTGTGGCGTGAGCACAGCCGTAGGGCGCCCGCGCGGGCTGCTGTGACGCCTGCAGCATCCACGGCTCACCTGGGGGTTACCTCCTCGGCACACACCTGCAGTCACTGAGGGGCGCGTGCAGGTGTTTGATGTCTGCTCCCTGGTTCCACCTCTGCTCCGCCCTCCTCAAGGCCCCGGGCGTGATGTGGGGCTCTGGGCCCTGTGAGTGTTCCGCGGCCGGGACTGCTTACACCTCAGAGTGGGCCCTCACCTGGGCCAGCCCTGCCACCTCGGGGACAGGTGCTCCTCACAGGCGACCTGCTGCTGGGCCTGGTTCCCAAGTCATAACAGGCGCAGCTGGAGCCTCTTCAAAACCAGCCGGCCCCGCCCCCTGCCCCTTCCCCACCTCGCCCCACCCCCAGCGCACCCAGGGCATCCCCTCCCCGCTGCCCTGCCCCGCCCCAAGGTCTCCCTAAAGCAGTGTCATGTGAGGGCTCCAGGGGTCCCCTCACTGCCTGGCAGAGAGCACACTCCCTCTTCAGAACACAGCCCTGAATCTGAGCCTCCCACCCCAACCTGGCAGGCCCTTCTGACTAGTCTTCCCGGAATCCTGGAGCACCCCCAATCCCAAGGGGTCCAATGAGCTGGGGAACCAGGGCCCCTGGAGAGACAACCTTCCCCACGAGTCCCAGGCAGCACTGTGCCCATGTGACACAGGAAAGCGATGGGCTGAGGGCTGTGCCATTGGAGTACCAAGGAGCTGAGGCCGATTGGCCTGTGTCCACGGGGGGCGGGCACCTTCAGGAGGCCAGCAAAGGGCAGGCACAGAGTAAGCGTCATTGGACGGGCATCTTTATTGAGCACCAAGACTGGGCAGTGAGGGAGGGAGACGGGAGAAGGATGCCGGGAGAAGGAGGCCTCGGAGAAGGAGACCTCGGAATTGTGGCTCTGGCAGGCGTGCTGACTGCACAGACTCGGGAATGGACAAACGTGCCTTGGAAGAGGTATGACCAGGACACTCCTTAGAAGGACGGAGGATCTGTGACAACAAGCTGGGTACCACCTACACAGTGGTGGCAGCAACACCCTCGAGCCCACGGCAATGCGAGGAGGGCGCAGGGCAGGACAGGGTTGCACATTGTTTTGTTCTGTCAGTAACGGTCAGAGCTGACGCCACAGAAAACCACAGTGACCGCCCAGCCTGCCCATGAGGGTCTGTGGTACCAGAGGACACCAGGGGACCCAGGCCATGAGACCACCCCGGAGATAGTTGGCTGTCCCAGAGCTGGGCCCAGGCTGCCCTCTCCTTGCCCAGCTCCACTGACCACCTGGCACCTGCCCCATCTTGCTATCTTCCCCTAGTGGAACCCTGCCCTGGTGTCACAGTATATTCGTCTGCAAACTGAAAAGTTGATGGTTCGATTCCACGGGTGCCCCATTGTAGAAAGATCGCAGTCTCATCTCACGAAGATTCACACACTTGGAGACCCTATGGAGGGTCCCCGGGACGGGCTGATGAGGGCAGAAGGTTTGATGGGCCGCCCAAGGCTCCATGCTCTCTGCTCCAGCCCCTATCGAACAACCAGGACAATGGCTCCGAACTGGACACTCCTGGGGTCCGGGCTCCACTTTGCACTCCCACCCCTCCTCTACCTCCTCACCCCCTCTCCCACTGAGGTGCGGACCCTGCAGAGCCTTGCTGAAGTCTGGGCAGGTTTGTCCGGCCCTCCCAAGCTCTGCCTCTGTCCCAGGTGGGCCTTGCTGCAGGGCAGCTCACGGATGGTTCCCGAAGTCTTCTCAGCACAGTCTACACCTCCCGTAAAATTCCCGCTGGACTCAGGCCTGCTCTCCTTGGGCCCCGCATCCTGGTGGTGACCTGGCCTCCGGGCTGCCCCAGGGGTGCTCAGTCAGTCAGGATGCCTAGGGCCAGGAACTAGCAGTCGTCTCAGGGCTCCCTATGGGCTGCCCCGTTCTTAGGGGGTCTCTTGAGGGCAGCATCATCTCTGACCTTTTGCCCAGTAGGGCAGGGTGCTGGGTAGGGACTGACTGGTGACCACAGCTTGTCCCCGAGGGCTAGCCATGGCAATCTCTTCCACATTTGTGTACTTCCCTTCTCGGAGGACACCGGTCACAGGTGTGAGTTCAAAAGCCATCACAGGCATTGGGTTCAACACAGCTGTCACAGGTGCATGCTAGAGCCCCAGGGGTCCAGAATGTCAGCTGAGAAGGGCTCTGTTCAGGCCAGTGGTTCCCTCGAAGTGTGCCCTGAGGTTAGTGCGTATAGTGCATACCAGCCAGGGCAGCAGCCTGTGGGCAGGTCACCATGTGAATGGTGTGCTAAGTACAGACCTTCTCCCAGGCCTTGGGGACTGAGAAGTGAGGCCCTTATTTCACAGAAGCAGAAAGGGAGGTTTGGAAGGGGCTGGAAGGTCCCAAGTTTCCAGGAAGGTAGGGAGGGTGTCAGGTCAGGGTTGAGACCTCTGTGCCCAGGCTCCAGTGGGGTTCTGCATGGGGCCTCAAGGGGACCTAGCGCAGCTGAAGAGTCACAAGTGGGAACCATGGTAGGAATCCCGGCTCAGGTTCAAATCCCAGGAGTGAGGCCAGAGGGCCAAGTGGGGACATCCCAAGGATGGGACAGGAGACTTCACAGGCAGATCTTGTGGGACTCGTGGGATGAAGGAGGGGACACAGCTCTGTTCCTGGGGTCAGGTGAGGGGAGCAACAGCTGCCTGTCCCAGGTGGTGGCCAAGGGCAGAGGCAAAGCCAGCCTGGAGTAGAGCCAGTCATGAGGAGGCCTACTTGGCCAGTGGAGGGTGAGAAAGCGGAAGTGATCCCCCCCCCCCAGCCCTCAGAAAGCACTATCATCGGCTCACTCTCCACAGTTGAACATCTCTGCCTCCTTCTCCTTCCAGAAGGCGAAGCTGCGGTCGATGTACCCACAGATTTCCGCGCTGCTGAAGCTGTCCTGCCCGGCACCAGGGGCTTCCGGCTCAAGGCCGCTGCTGGGCACCTCGGTGGGGGACAGTGGCCCCAGCGCTGGCACGACGGGCTTGCGGCCGGACTCCGAGTCCCAGGTGTGTCTCCGGCGGGAGCCGAAGAAGCGGGCTTTGATGTCCTCGAAGCCGTCGGTCCAGGTGCGGCGGCCAGCGGCCACCTCGTCCGTGACCGCCTTGTGGAAGGTGCGCACTGCCTCCCAGCCGTGGGTGCCCAGGTGCTCGAAGACCTCGAAGCACAGCAAGTGGCGCATCTTGCGCTCCTCGGGAGGCAGGTCGCACTCCAGGAGCTGGAAGTAGCCCAGCATGAACAGGTCCAGGGTCAGGCTGCCGTAGGGGACTGGCGCCCCCGCCACGTGCGGCAGGAACTGCTCGGGGGACAGCGGCCCGTGCGGCCTCCGGCTCAGGCGCCGCAGCTGACGGGCGGGCACATGCGCCATGATGGCTTTCCAGCGGCCCAGCAGGTGTGCGATGGTGCCACGCTGCTGCCACAGGTGGCCAAGGCGCGGGCCGGCGCTGGGCGGCGATGCGGGGGGCCCCGGGGCGCGGGGGACCCCCGGACTCCCGCAGGCCGTCTCAAGCACCGGCGTGTAGGCGGACTTCTTCCAGTGGCCGAGGAACAGCAGGACGATGCGCTCCTTCCGCAGGCTGCCCAGGTCCAGGCCCGTACCCCCCTCCGACGGGGCCTCCTCGCAGCTGATGCCCGAGTCACTGGCCTCCTCGTTGTCTCCCGGGCCGGGCTCTGCGCCCACGGGACCACCTCGGGGCTGCGATGCGGCCGCCCAACAGTCGGTCGGGCACCGGGCGCAGGGCCCCGCCGAGGGGGCGCAGGGCAGGCCGGCCTCGAAGGTGCCGCGCAGCGTCCGCACCGACACCCCGCACGCCTGGATCTCGCGCTGCGCTGTGCTGCGCGGGGGGCTGCCCGGGGCCTCCCGGGGGGCTGCGGCCTGGGGTTCGGCCGGCCGCTCCTCGCCTCTCACCAGCCCGTTGACGCCGCGGAGCAGAAGTGACATGCTGCGCACCAGCCGCGCGATGTGGCCGCACCAGAAGGGCAGGGGCTGTCCGCCCGGCGCCCCCGCCGCCCCGGCGCCCTCGGGCAGCACCCCCGCCGTTCCTCCGGCCTCCTCGCCCTCAGGCCCCGCTGTGGGGGTCAGGAAATGGCTGTTGACCGTGATTCTGACCAGGGGCGCAGGCAGCAGGGCCTGCAGCTCGGAGGCCAGCCGGCCCAGCTCGCTCTCGTACTCCTGGCAACGCCGGCGCAGCTGCAGGTCGGCGATCTGCTTCTCCAGATAAACCAGGTCGTCCTCTGTCAGCAGCTCCCCGAAGGGGCCCAGGATGGCCTGGTGGGCCTGTGAGTACCGCCAGGCCGCCTGCTCCGCCGAGTCCTCTCCGGCGCAGTCTTCCTGCACCCAGAGAGAGCCGGGTCAGTGCACCACGTCCCCTACGCCCGGACTGCCTCGGGCACCCGGCTGGCCCGTGGGCTGCATGAGGTGAGAAACACGTGCCTGGGAAGCACCAGGCCGGCGCCCCCCAGCACTGGGCAGGCCCCTGGACCCCGGGAGCCCTCACAGGAGGCTGGGTGCTTCTGCTTTCTTACCACCCACTCCACCACATTTCATCCAAGGCATGCCCTCCTTCAAGCCTACAGTGTCAATTTCTGGAACCTTCTGAGGCTTGGCAGTAGCCCAGGAGGATGGGAGCCCCAGCCACTGCTTTGGAGGGGCAGCTGTCTCCTCTCCTCTTGCTCCCTCACCTCCAGGCCCCTGGAACCCACAGTCTGAGGGGACTGTCACCAGCCATCTGGTGCTGAGAGGCCAGGGGCGGGAAGGGACACTTTGCACTAATCCAAATGCGGCCCCTGTGGTCGAGCGCATTCTGACCACCACGCTCAGCAGGAGGGGTGGCTGCCCCACAGGGTCCCAGTTGTCATGAAATCGGCTGCTTCATCTTTTTCTTGTGGAGCAACTGGTGGATTTGAACCAATGACCTTTCAGTCAGCATCCCAACTCTTAGCCCAGTGTGCCACCAGGGCTCTTGTGACAGTCTCAATCCCATCCACCCCACCGGGCCTGGGCCAGGGGACATCACTGTGCTGGACAGGGACTCCCAGGCTGGTCAGGCCTTGCGGGCCATGCTGGTCCCTGAGTCCTCAGTTTCTGGGTGAACCTGGGCCCTAAGGAGACTCCTCTCTCCTCTCTCCTCACTCCCACACAGGTCCCAGCCCCTTACTGACTCCCACTCTCCTCACATCACCCCTCAACACAGCTCCCCTCCATTACGCATTTCTCCCCCCTTATCCCACCCCTGGCCTGAGGCGGCCCCCGCACATCACCCCACCCCGTGTGCCTGGCCTGGGCCGCCCCCTCCCCAGGGTCTTGGTTTCGTCTCCCTGCCTCCCACCAGGGATCCCAGCGATGTGCCCTCTGCCGTAAGGTGCTTATCCCAGATGCCCACGTCCCAGCCCCGGAGGCCACCCTGACCACCCAGACAAAAGCCCATCGTCCTCTCGCCCTCTGCATCGCTACCTCCCCCACCCCCACCCCCTTCCTCTGCACTGTCCTGTTTACCCCTGAGGAAAATGCGGTGCTCTGCTCGCAGGTACCCGGTACAGGTAACTTTGCCTCGTAGAAGAGGAAGCAGATCACAGAGTGAAGATGGCTGAGATTTTGAGTCCCCGCTAGGGCTCCAAATGCCTCATGTTGCCCCCTCGCCCCCTCCAATCCACAGGCTTCGCTTTCTAGCGGCCTTGAGGTCCCACCTGTCCAGCTGTCAGTCTTGTCCTGCTGTCCCAGACCCTGCTGCTTCACCACAGGCTCTGCCACTCTTGCACAGGCCCCGCCCATCGTACTAGACCCCGCCCATTCTGCACAGCAGACCCCGCCCTCCTGCCCAGGCCCCTCCCCAAGGTTCTGCCCTGGGCCCCACCTGGGCCTCGGTCGCCCCCTCCGCACTGAGGTGCGCCTGCAGCTTCCGCACCATCACCTGCCGCTTCCACTCGGGGATGGGCCTGCCGTGCTCGTCCTGCGTGGGCACCAGCCCGTCCAGGTCACCCGAGGGGAGCCCATCCAGCTGCAGCACGGCCAAGCCGTTGGGGGCATCTGCTGCCGTCTGGGCCCCCTGTGCATAAGCGGGGGTCACATGCTGCACATGCTATCTGGGACCAGGTGGGAGGTCCCGCGGGAAAGGGCAGCGAGGAGACCTCAGCCCTCCACCCCAGTCCTCACTGGGTGTAGTGTGTGGACCCGAGGGCATGATGAACTGATCCTTCGGGGTCCTCTGTGCAGGGAAGGGCCGCCCAGGTTTGCTGGGGGGTCCCTTTGTGTCTGGCTGAGAAGAGGCTTCCCCAGCAGCCGTGTGGACATGCAGAGCTGTGGAAACAAGGCCTGGCGACACCTCTGAGCTGCAGGACTTGTCAGTGCCTTTACGGCGCTGTGTGCGTTGTGACTGTACCATACTGCATTTCCTAAGCCCAGTTGCACACAGGACATCTCCATATGAGTGTGGGGGTCTGCTGTGGGGAAGCACCCCAGGGAGAGGGAGGGCCGGGAGGCTCTGTTCCGCAGTCCTAGGGCCTCTGGCCTCATGGTGTCAGATTCCAGGGAGCATGCAGCACCCCTGAGCTCAGAAGTCAGGAAGAGGCAGGGGCTTTTGAGGCAACAGAGAAGGGCACCCACATTTCTCTCGTAGGGTGACAAGATGCTTGTCCCTTGCCCCAGGCCCTGCAATTCCCTCTCCTTAGACCCTGGTGCTGCATAGTGTGTTAGGTGGCATACTGCCTTACATGTTGGGCTGCTGAGCGAAAGGTCGGAGGTTTGAGTCCATCAGCTGATTAGAAGGAGACAGCAGAACGCTCCTCCCATAAAGATGGGTACACAGCCTCAGCGGCCTGCTGGAGCATGGCTGGGCGATGGAACCAGCTTGGAGGCTTGGGGTTTTCTATCTGAAAGAGCCCAGGGTGTCCCTAGGAGCCAGCAGGCACACTCACACCTCTAAAGGCCTGGGTCCACCTGTTCCAAAGTGGCCCTCAGCCCACCTATGGGAACCTGGGGAGGGGAACGCACCGTGGGGACAGCCAAAGCACTGGTGGTGATTTTCTGGGGGGCCACAGAAGTCGACTGCTCCCTGGGGGGCGGCAAGGTGAGCTGGTCAGGCCAGGCTGGGCTGAGAGGAGCTGCTGCTGGACCTGCAATGGGAGGGGCTTCCGGGGGGAGGGGAGAGAGAAGGGGGAACATGACCGTCAGCCCCAGAGACACCAGGCATGGACAGGCAGCTCCCCAGAAACGTCACCCCAGGCCCCCCTGAAAGGACTCAGCCGGCTTCGACCAAATGCCTGCGGGCCCCTCTCCACCTCCCTCCAGGCAGTCCTCTGGGCTCACTTCCCCAAGTCCTGCCGGAGAGCTGGGTTACTCACCAGTGGGGGTCCCGACACCAGAACCCCCTCTTCCTCCCTCTTCTGGAGACTTTCGGGCAGCTGATAACGGGGGTGGGGGAAATGGTGGTGGTGGTGGAGTCATCAGCAGTGGTACCTGTAGGTGGACAGGCTGGTCAGCAGATGCCCACTGGGCAGGCCATGCGGGATGCCCACCAGGCCAAGGCTGGGCCAGCCTCCTGGGGAGGCACAGGAGGAAGTCTGAGCAGGAGCCACTTCACACTGGTGATCTGGGTTCCCCACACACCCCGGTGCGCGTCTGGGTGCCATAACCCAGATGCTGCACCCCCACCCCTCTACCGGGTGACCCCACAGGGGCCATGTGAATGGAGCTCCAGGCGCTGGTTCAGGGCTTAGTCCAGCTTGTGTCTCACGCACATGACACACGCACGCACACAGGCCCCCTGGCTGACTGTCCCTGACCACGTGCACGAGCCCCAAAGCCCCGCTATGACCTCATGAACCATCAGCTCTCTGGGTGGACGACTGACCTCTGATAGTGACTGCTCATGTTTAGTGAGGGGCCACAAGTGTTGCCCATTTTCAGGTGAAAACTCCGAGGCCTGGAGCACCATCTGCACAATGGTGGGGGACCCAACCCAATTTTAGCCCAGCTGCCGGATGGAGACGTGACCTTGCCTTGTCCCACAGCCTCAGCATCAGACGTCCCCTCCCCTGGTGAGAAGACAGCAAGGTACACCACACGGGGCCCCTGCCACCACCCTGAGGTGGGGGCACCCCGAGTTGTGGGCACCCCAAAGTGGGAATACCACAAGATGGGGGCACCCCGAGGTGTGGGAACATCCTGAGTTGGGGCTCCCTGAGGTGTGGGCACCCCAAAGTGAAGGCACCCCAAGGCGGGAACAATCCGAGGTGGGGACACCCCGAGGTGTGGGAACATCCCAAGGTGGGGCATCCCGAGGTGGGGGCACCCCAAAGTGGGAATACCACAAGATGGGGGCACCCCGAGGTGTGGGAACAATCCGAGGTAGGGACACCCCGAGGTGTGGGCACCCTGAAGTGGAGGTACCCCAAGGCGGGAACAAGCCGAGGTGGGGACACCCCGAGGTGTGGGAACATCCCAAGGTGGGGCATCCCGAGGTGGGGGCACCCCAAGGTGTGGGCACCCTGAGGTGTGGACACCCCGTGGCATGGGCACCCTGAGTGGACTGTCCGGCCCCTGGGTGTAGGGAATCCAACAAACGTATCAGGCTGCTCAGGCCGAAAGCAGGGCTGTACTGGGAGCTCCTGTGGGTAGGATTCCATCCCGCTGGCCCACCTTGTGCACATGGCCCACATGTGGGGTTCCCAGAACAGCCCCTGGGAGCCTACAGCTGCTGACTGCTGGCCATGGGCTCTGCCCCTCATTGTGGGTGCTCTGGGGCAGGGCTGGCGGCGCCCCCTCACTCCCAGTTCTCTGGAGGCTCTTGGAGAACGGATGCCTGGGCTACACTCCCCAGCAGTCCTGTCTGAGTGTGTGTCCAGTGCCGTGCCTGCAGGCCTGCTCCCTCCCAGGACCCCAGCTCCACTCACTGTTTGCAGGGTCCTGGCTGGTGTCGAACCACAGGGAGCAGTGCTTCTGTCCTCTGCTGGGGGCTGTCACAGGGCAGCCCCTTCTGCTGTCCTGCACTGTCCTCTGCTGGGGGCTGTCCCAAGGGCACCCCTTTCTGCTGTCCTGCACTGTCCTCTGTCCCGCACTGTCCTCTGCTGGGGGCTGTCCCAAGGGCACCCCTTTCTGCTGTCCTGCACTGTCCTCTGTCCCGCACTGTCCTCTGTCGGGGGCTGTCACAGCAGCTGCCCCTGCTGGCGGCACCACATGAATATTTGAAGGTTGAGGTGTCGAGTAGCCAGGCGGGCTGGGCTCCAGCTGGGGTATGGGATCCCTTACAAGGCCAGCAGGGGACCCCAGGGGACCCCAAAGTCTAGGGTCACAGCACACTCACAGAAGGCCTTTTCTGGAATAGTTGGCCCAAAGGAGCGAACCCTCACCCCAGTAATGCTTCCAGGCATGTGTGGGGAAACTGAGGCTCAAAGAGGGCTAAGGGCCCCCACTGGGTCAGAACCAGGCCTGCCCTGGCACACCATCGGTCCCGGAGGTCTTGGCCCAGGCCACCTGGGCAGTGGCACCAGAGGGGCTGTGTGGGCTCGGGGGAGGAGCCGGCTGTGGGAGGGTGACCTGGTTGGGTCTGGACTCCTACTTGTCACCCTGGGCCGGTTCGGAATGCAGACTCCGGACCAGGCCTGGGGCGATGTCTCAGGAGCTGTTGGCGGGATAACCCCAAGGCGGAGCACTGGTGTGGTGGGCACCACCAGGTCGGTTCTGACTCACAGACCCTGCACATCAGAAGGAAGCCCCGCTGGGCCCGCCCGTCTCACCATCTGTGCGGTGCGCAAGCCCACTGCTGCAGCCACTGCACCACTCCGTCTCCTAGAGGTCTTCTTATCTGCCTTTACAGAGGACAATGTCCGTCTCCAGAGATTGGCCTCTCCTCACAGTGTGTCCCCAGTGTGTGAGACAGTCTCATCCTTGCTTCTAAGGAACGCTCTCCCAAGACAACCCGTTCCTTCTTTTGGGAGTCCATGAATTTTCAGTATTCTTCACCTGCATAATCCAAGTGCATCAGTTCTTCTTAGGTCGTCTTTGCCCACGGTCTACTATTTACAAGGCTGTAAGGAGATGGGAAATACCCTGACATTGCTCAGGCACACCTCAGTCCTCAGTGGGGCATCCTGGCTCCGCAGCACTTTGCAGCAACTTGCTTACTGCACGATGTAAAAAGGCAGGTTCTTTGGGCTCAGGGCTCCTCGGCTACAGCACAGCCTGCTGTCGCTCAGCACCCACAGGGACGTCGTGAAACTTGGGGGTCAAAAGAGTGACCTAAACATAGCATCACATTCCCTGCTACGTTGAAATAAAGTCCCCAGCGGTTCAGTCTCCATTCACCTGCTAACATAGAGAAGGTTTGAACCCACTCAGATGTGCTGAAGAAGAAAAGCCTGGCTGTCTTCTTCAGTCGATCCCAGCCAAGAAGACGCTATGGATTTCTCCACCATGGCACGTGGGGCCGCTGTGAAGACTCTACAGAGAAGTGCTCCGCTTTGGCACGAGGGGTCGCTGTGCATGGGAACTGACTCAACAGCAGTCGGTCTGAATTTTTATGCTTTGGTCTCAGACCCAGGGAGGAGCTTTGACGGTGCAGTGCTTGACTGCTAACCAAGCTAACCGAAAGGTTGATGGTTCAAACCCACCAGCTGGCCCTCGGGAGAAAGCTGCGGCTGCTGTGAAGACCACAATCTTGGACGCCCTGCGGAGCAGCTCTCCTCCGCCCTGCACAGTTGCTGAAGGTCGCTGGGTGGGCATGGTGTTCTCGGCCAGGAGCCCCAGGCTCTGACCAGCACAGGACCCAGAAACACGGAGCGGTTAGTGTAACCATCTCCAGAGCTGACAGACATGAGGACAGAGAGGCCAGGGCTGACCTTCAGACCTCAGTCAGAGGGGATGAGCCCTCAGGGCGGCCCTTTCTAGAAGTCCTCCTGATGGCCCGTCTGCCCAAAGCACCCCCAGTGGGCTCTGCTCTAGGGGAGCAGGTTGAGAAGAATGTTGGAGTGGAAGGGGACGACAGTGTCCCTTCTCCTTGGAAGATGGAAGGGGGTCCAGGGGGTGGGTTTTGTTCCCTCTCCCCCCCTCCTGTTCCCACTCCCAGCTCCTGGCCTGTCTTCTGATGTGGGTCCCGACAGCAGGGTGCCCCAGGAGACAGGAAACCACACCTTACGCCCTATCTGCCCAGGCAGCTCCTGGTACAGGCTGAGGTCTTTGGAGTCCAGGGCCCCACTGCTTCCAGATTCCTAAATCAGGCTTGGGGATCCCGGGGTTCAGCCATGCTGGCCAGTCCCCAGCCAAACCCCCCCCCCCCCCCCATCTGCTCCTCTCCTTGAAAAGCAAAAGAAAAACTCCCTCATTGGTACACAATCCCCCCCCCCGACTCTCTTTTCTTGAGGTTTTGATGAGATTTGAGCAGTGAGGTGTCAGCCATGCATTATATATCGAGGGCAGCTGCCGAGCTGGGTTACAGGCCTGTAACGCCACCCAGGCCGAGAAAATCATGACCCAGACATCAGAACCACCACAGGGCCGAGATTCGGTTACTGGCTGGGAGGCCCTGGCCTGGCCTGGGGGAGGGGACAGCAGGAGAGTCCCTTGGCCCTGGGCCTCACTTTGCACGTCTGTAAATAAAAATAGTGCAGGCAGTTTTTATAAACTGCCAACCCAAAAGGCTGGCAGTTGGAATTCACGTAGAGGATCTGCAAAAAAGAGGCAAACTGTGTCCATGAAGGTGGCAGCCCAGAAGCCCCGGGCAGTTCCACTCTGTGGTTCATGGGGGCGCCATGTATGGGAATCGACACAGCCACAGGAACATGGACTGTCCTGTGTCCAGGGCAGATTAGCCAGGTGACTTCTTCCTGGGCTCAACTGGACCTCACAGGCTCTTGGGCCCATTCTATGGATGCAAAGCTTGAGGCTTAGAGCTGCTCAGAACATGCAGGCATCAAGAACGCGCTCCAAGCAGCCTGAGTTCTCCCTGAGACCTCCTCCATCTCGCCCTGGGCAGGTCTGCGGGAGTGAGGACACAGAGGGGGGATGCCTGGGGACACAGCGGCACAGGCCCGCCCACCCCACAGAACAGAGTCCAGAGCTGAAGTCTCAAGTCTCACCCCCAGGCAACCCATGGGGAGGGGTCTTCCAGCTCCTGCCCCACTCAGCTCAGTGGAGCCCCCTCTTCACAGCTCAGGAGCAGAGAGGTGCTAGGTAAGATGGTGAAGTCATGGGCAGAGGGACGGAGGAGGTCCTATAGACCCCCAGGGACACCTCCCACAGGCTGGACCTGCCCCATCCATCCTGGGACTCACGTCCACTGGAGGTAGACATGGGGACAACGACAGATGTCCCATCCCCTCCAAGGCCGCCTCCACCTGGCCACCTCTGGATATTGTGTTCTCATCAATATTACATGAGTCACAGGCTCCCCTCACTTGGCCCCACGCTGACAGCCGACTCCCCTCCAACCACGATGGGGCCCTCGGGAGCCCTGGGCTCCAAGAAGCAGGTATAGCATCAGCTGATTAGATGGGCCCACTTCATAGCTGTCAGCACTGAAGCAGCCCACACCAGTGGGCAGATGGGGTGAGCACTTCCCACAGCCACCCGGACCCTTCCTGTCCCTGCAGTGAAGATGGGGGGTCCGAGCCCTCAGGGTGAGTTCCCAAGTCCTGATGGGCAAGCTGATTAGCCTCACAAGCCAACTGTTGGGTTGGCAGGTGCCAGGCAGCTGTCACCCAGAAGTGGACACAGAGGAGGTGGGAAAGTGGATAGGATGTGGAAGAGGGACTCGCAGACTTGGGCAGGTGCACTAGGACAGGGAAGGGGGCTCCTGGGAGGTGTGCCAGATGGGGAGACTGCAGAAACAGCCGGGGTAGAGCGGGGAGTCCCAGTGACGAGGCCTGGATCATGTACGTCATGTTGAGGTTCTGGTGCCCACGTCTATGAAAGTGGCCTTGTTTGGAACAAGGTCTTTTCTTTTGTTAACGTATTAGGCTGCTAACTGAAAGGTCAGGAGTTTGAACCCACTAGCTGCTCCATGGGAAAAAAGATGAGCAGTGTCCTCCCTTCAAGACTGGGGATCAACATGCGTGTCAGAGCAGGGGCATTGAACCCCTAATCCCTGCTGAATAGTATCACAGAAATACAGAACTTGGGGGCAAGACGCCACAAGAAGGTGGAGCCAAGGAATCTGCAAGCCCAGGAGCGCTGGGCAGAGGCAAGGAGCCCAGACCCACTGCGACCACCGACCACCGTGGCCTAACTTCTGGCCTCTGAATAAATTCCAGGGCCAGGGGCCTATCAGCACTTGTGAGCACCTGAGCACCACTAACTCCCCCGGCACCTCCCTAATCTGCACAAGAAGTTTACAAACATCATTTCAAAGGCCAAGGCAGAAAACAGGCCAACAGCCACATGGAAGAGGAAAATCCTGCTCCAAAAGAGAAGTCCACTTGTGGTGTTTGCTGTGGTGGCCCCAGGAGCCCGGGACAGGGGCTCTCCTCACCCCATTTGGTAACATCCAGGGGACAGGCAGGGTTTAGGATGGCCAGGGCCCTTGTGATGTTGCTGCAGGAAGCCCTGGGGATCTGGAGATGGCAGCAGCCCTACGCCAGGGGTGGATTTAGGGGAGGCTGGAGGGCCCTCAGAAGGGTGGGTCTTGGGGACATGGTGGTCCTGTGTGAAGGAAGACTCAGGCCAAGGGCATTGCGGCTGAACCCGGCAGACTCCGAGTCAGGGGCCCCGTCAGAAGGAAGTAGGCCCCTCCCCAGCAGCAGGTGTCAGAGGAGGTGGGAGAGCTGAGCACCCCCACCCTCCCCACCCCATCTCCATTCCATGAGGCCAGGAAGCAGAGAAGCTGGGGCAGACCCAAGTGGCTGCACAGGGACCAGGGACCATAGAGGCTGGGGCATTCCAGAGCCCATGGACCGAGATGCTCCGTCCATGGCACCAGAGACCTGACAGTCCTACCACCTCCACTCCCCTCTCATTCATCCTGTCCCTGCCTCACCCTCCTGTTCCTGCTTCACTCACCTGTCCCTCTCTCACCAGTCCTGTTCCTGCCTCTCTCACCTGTCCCTCACTCACCTGTCCCTCTCTCACCTGTCCCTCTCACCTGTCCCTCTCTCACCTGTCCCTCACCTGTCCCTCACTCACCTGTCCCTCTCTCACCTGTCCCTCACTCACCTGTCCCTCTCTCACCTGTCCCTCTCTCACCTGTCCCTCACTCACCTGTCCTGTCTCTGCCTCTCTCACCTGTCCCTTACTCACCTGTCCCTCACCTGTCTCTCATTCACCTGTCCCTCTCTCACCTGTCCCTCTCTCACCTGTCCCTGCATCATTCATGTCACACTCTTG